AGCTGTTAACATTCAAATTAGAAAAGCATGCAAAGCCAATGTCTATATATAAAATGTGAATCAACAATGAACTTTAATTATAATTATATATATATATTGAAATCCCCTGCACTAGATATAGTATTTGAATGTGTTTGTTATAACTTCAAGTCATTTAAATAGTAAAGCTAGTGAAGATGACATGGAGAAAAAAATGGTTCAGTGTCTGATGCCGAGATCCTGTGTTGCTTCTGCATACATAATATGGTAGTAAAAAGGTCCGTATTAGATGATGAGGTGGGTGGGTCAGCCTATAGAAATGGAAAAGCACAATAGGATGTAAATGCAGATTCAGAACAAAAATAGTCTGAGGACAAGCACAGCTAATTAATGTAGCATTCTTTTCCTGAGTGACTGTCTGTTATGTGTCATGATTATTTTGCTGAAATCTTGTAGTCAGGAGCCCTCCCACATATAATCTGACACTTCTGCACTCTGAGATTGTTACCCAAAGACCGTTTGGCGTGTCATAATGAATAAGTGGTTACTTTCTGTTCCAAGTATTATGAAAGGAAACCATTGCTCCATCCTGTCTCTACTGGAAACTCTTCATATCTGTTACTTTTCTGTCTAATTATCGTTTTCACAGTTACTTACTTGTGGCAACTCTAAATATTCAAGATGTAATTATACAGTTTAAGAATGCTTTTGTTCAGGGAGAAAAACATACTCTAATTTCTAATCCTTATTAAAATATGCACAAATAAAAATATAATTATGATTATAAATATAGATAGAGGTTAAAGACATACATGATATGGGGAAGTTAGATATCCATCTCTCACCAACATTCAGTGAGAACTCTGGTTTATGTCACCTCACCAATCTTATGTTAAGGCTAGTCATGAGGAAAATCTTTCTAATGATACAGACAGTGAAACACTGCAAAAGACTGTAGGACAGCTGGAGTAGTCTGCTGACCTTTATTGTTGGCAACTGCACAAACATCTGCCTCCATGACCTAAGATGATCCCATATTGAGGCAGTAGGATAGATTAAATGAACTTCCACTGATAAACCTGGTTTTATTTGTTGAATTATTTTTGTGCATCTCAAACTTTTAAGGTTCATGGGCTGGGGAAGAACTTATATTGAAGAAAGTAAAGATAACACATTGTAGAGCTGATAAACAATAATGACTTTATAACATGAAATATGGAATAACACTGACAGTGCAATTTGTTGAGATAGTCAGCTCAACATGTGTCCTGGTTTTGGCTGGGATAGAGTTAATTTTTTTCCTAGTAGCTGGTTTAGTGCTGTGTTTTGGATTCAATATGAGAATAATGTTGATAACACACTGATGTTTTCAGTTGTTTCTAGGTAGTGTTTATATTAAGTCAAGTATTTTTCAGCTTCTCACATCCTGCCAGCAAGAAGGCTGGATGGGCACAAAAAGTTGTGAGGGAACACAGCCAGGACAGCTGACCAAAACTGGCCCAAGGAATATTCCATACTATGTGATGTGATGCCCAGTATATAAACTGGTAGGAGTTAGCTGGGGGGTGCAGATCACTGCTCAGGGGCTGGCTGGGCATTGGTCAGCCAGTGGTAAGCAATTGTATTTTGCATCACTTGCTTTTTTTTGTGTTTTGTTTCACTCTCTTTTTGTTATCTTCCTTTTCATTACTATTATTGTTGTTAGTCTTATTATCATTGTTACTATTATCATAATAATATTATTATTGTTATTACACTTCTTATTTCAGTTAATAAACTGTTCTTACCTCAACCCACAAGTTTTACTTGTTTTCGGTTCTCCTCCAAATTCCACCAGGGAGCAGGGAGGAGTAAGCGAGCAGTTTTGTGGTGCTTAGTTGTTGGCTGAGGTTAAACCATGACAGAATGTTAATAGGATTATTCTAGATTTCAGTAAAATAGGAGAATGCTACCCTAGGTAGATGCTACATCATTTTATACCAATGACAAATATGGGATGATACCTCTCCAGATATTCGGTTCTCCCAACTGAAATAATGAATTCATTAATTAATTAAATCTGAATGAGGCCCCAGAAAGTCTTTTAATTGAACTTGAAGAGGTTGAGAGAAATACTTAAAACACAATTATACTGTAGAAATAAACATCTGTATATAGGTTTTCTTTTGTCTTTGTTTAGAACCAGGACTCAAGGGTATAAAAATGATGTAATTGTCTTGAATCTAATGATATTTTAATTCTAGGTTTTACCTAGAAAATGCCACCCGATGAATACTTGCTGGTATATTTTCTTTGGTGAAACCTGTGAAAATCAGAGCCCTTTATCTCACATGTTTCTTCACTAGAGGATATGGACGGTTACCAAAGCATCTTCACAGCTGTTTTCCATTTCTGAAATAAATAAGAACAGCCACATATACATGAGTGATAAATGAATTACATTTATCTGACATAAACATTTTAATGGATCTGGACAACAGGATTGATAATAATGCCTGGATGACTCATAATCAGTGTCCTTTCCCCTTTTAAATTTATGGAGAATGAGTGGAACACTCAGCAAAAAGAGATTCAACAAAGCAGGTACATCAAGAAGGCCAAAAAATATAATGAAAGTAAACTATCAGTGGAAAAATTAAATCTGTGTGTTTCATGGTATGAAAATGTTAGCATAAAACACTTTATGACAGTGTTTTAATGACATTCACTTCAAAAACATTTTCGAGAATGCTGGAGAATATTTACTGAAGTTAACTGTTCTGCAGCTTCTTAGACATGGTTTCATTTGGAAAATATGAACGTGTGAAAATTGGTAGATTCAGATTATATCTATTTGGAGGTAATAATGAAATCCAGTAATAGTGAGTTACTGCCAAATTCTCTTTAAAAATATAAGACACACATCCATCTCAGGCAGGCACGAAAGAGAGACAAAGAGGAAAGAAAGAAGAGAGAAAGAGAAAAGAAAGGAAGGGAGGAAGGTATGAAGGGGGAGAGAGAAAGACATACAGGGAAAGAGAGAAAGTGGTTAACAATAGAGAAAAAACTTTTAAAATCACAGATATTGTGAAACACTAATCAGAATCTGATGACCACTAGTTTCTGAAAAAAAAATTCCTTTAACCTAAATACAATTTCAGTTGTATTTAGATTTCATATTAACTTGTATCAACAATATAAAGAAAAAAGAATAGATATTGAGGTATAGTGATGATAGGAGATATAAAACTGCTTTGTAGAGTTTCATAGTTTCAGCATCTACTGTTACTTAGAATGAAGCTACATTTGAAATGAGAAAAAGTCTGTTCTTCAGAGAACTCCAGAGTTGACTCTATTCCCTCTATTCCTAGAAGTCATTACAGTTAAGAATGTTTTATACCTTTTACCTTCCAGAATTTCCTGATAGTTCACAGACTGGATTTGTTTTGTTGGCAATTTATACTTTCCAAAAAACAAATACTTTTGTGAGAAGTGCTCCTGTTGGTGACTCCTTGTAGTCTTCAACCCCTGGGACACAGTCTGTCATGTCTACAATAGTTATATGTAATTTTATAAAAAAGCATCTAACCTTTTGACTCCTTGTTTTCTCTCTTTTTTTTTTTTTTTTTTTTTTTTTTTTTTCTTCAGTTGAAATAACCTAAGTAAATTCATGTAAAGCACCTATAGCAACTGGAGCAGAACATTTCAGAGGTAATGCAAGACTTCAGTAATTAATTGTCTGTAACCAACCTAATCAGAAAGTCCTGATGAAAGTTATTGTTTTTTCCACTTACTCTGAGTAGGGTTATTTAATAGTGTAGCTAATGCATTCATGGGGAAATGCTCCAGAAACACAAACCATTCTTGTATTACTATGTCCAACAACAGCAGAATTAGTCCTGAACTCTGGAAGTCTAGCAGCCCACAGTCATCTTCAGAAGAGTCAAAACCAATATAAATCACCTCTGAAACTCTTAAGAAAGCCAAGGACGAGATGCTCTAATGACTCTCTTACAGCTTGGAACTGAAAAATTCTTGGCTCAAAATGCTGACTTTTAGCCAAGGTACTGTACAGTAGGTTTACTTTTTGACATGTTATAATCACCTCAGAAAAAGTACAAGGTGATCATAGAGAAAAGGTTGAGGTAAAACAAGGGCAGTAAAAATAAACAGTTATGACTGCAAAAAAAACCTGTAGAGTTCTAGTTGTAATGAACACTTTATTCTTAGATGAAGTAACTTAACTGTATGCTAGAAAAATCTTTCTTCTATCAACATTGCAGACTGTACTTTGTGACAGACCTCAGTTTTGTGCTTTGCAGCTGTCTGAGTAAATTAAGTATGAATAGGCATAGTCCCCAGAATTTGTATTAAAATGATGTTGGTTTTCAGCACTATACTTCAGTAAGTTTTAGTTCTTTGATGTCATAATGTCAGTGGACATCAATGGATATCTACTCCACTCTCATGAGGCCCCACCTGGAGTATTGTCCAACTCTGGAATCCTCAGCACAGGAGATGTGGGCCTGTTGGGGAGGGTCCAGAGGAGGGCCACCAAAAATGATAAGAGGGCTGGAACACCTCTCCTATGAAGAAAGGCTGAGAGAGTTGGGGTTGTTCAGCCCAGAGAAGGCTTTGGGGAGACCTTATTGAAGCCTTTCAGTACTTAAAAAGGGTACAGGAAAGATGGGGACAAACTTCTAGCAGGGTCTGTTGTGATTAGATAAGGGGTAACGGTTTTAAACTAAAATATTTAGATTAGATTTAGGGAAGAAATTTTTTACAATGAGGATGGTGAAACACTGGAACAGGTTGCCCAGCGAGGTGGTAGATGCTCCATCCCTGGAAACATTCAAGGTCAGGTTGGACGGGACTCTGAGCAACCTGAGCTACTTGAAGATGTCCCTGCTCATTGCAGGGGAGTTTGGACTAGGTGAACTTTAAAGGTCCCTTCCAGCCCAAACTATTCTATTATTCTGTGATTCTATGACTAACACCTAAAATATAAAAAACTGTATATGACAAGAGGTAGAGATGTGATCATTATTTATTTTTTTATTATTATTCAGTGGATTTACATTTGACACTTACAAATAGCATCAATAAAGGATAGCACAGTGGTAACACTGTCAAAGTGGCAATATGATCTTATCTAAAACTAACTTTAATTACAACAGTAAATGATGAAAAACCTGCCTTACTGCATACAGCATGCTTGTTAATGACAGGGAGTTTATTGGCCTGACTTGTTCAAACTTGAATCTACAGATAACCCCATAGGTGTTCTCTCCTCAGCTTTCACAGTGTGCCTTATGTGCATATAAAAATAGAGAGCTGGCTAAAATTTGAGATGGAGGAGCTTCTCCTGTTAGCTTGGATAGAGGAAGCTGTATTCTAGCAAATGTTTAAAAGCTATGATACTACATTCTTTGCACATCATTGCAAAAATGTTGTCAAACAGAAACAGAAAGGCAGGGACTATGAAATTCACAGTCGGTGTTGCACCTCCCCCAGGCAATAGGAGAACAGGGAAGTAATTGAGCTTTTTGAAGCTAGTTACAGCCCTTTGATAAATCAGAGGCAACTGCAGCTTGCCTCCTTTTCTTGGCCCACTACAGAAGACTTGAGGTGTTTGTTGGTTTCCATGAGTTAGCTGAATGACTTATTTTCTTCATTGTTTGCCTAAGGCTAGTGCATAACCTCACTGAGATGACTAGACATTGACACTGCACCTTGAAGAGTGGCAGAAATTAACAAAATCATTATCTGTTTCCAAGTCTTCTGTGTGGATATCCAAATGAGCCAAACCTGTACAAGAAAGAAGAATAAACTTTAAGTATTCAAAACAATGAACAAATATCCAAGTTCGGCATTGGATGACTATCTTATACTGTGTTTGTATCTCACAGGTTTTTTTTTGGTCCATATACCATAGTGACATGTTAGGAAGATACACGTAATAAATATGCATCACTTCAGCAGACAAACTGTTAATGACCTAGGATTAAGTTACTACTTATGCATCAATCTATTCCTTCTTTCTTCTCCAACTTAGTAAGTGTTGGTTCTGGGTTCTGAAATGAAATAGAACTATGGGAAGAGATTTATGTCTTTTGTCTGAAATATATAACTGGTGTAGCCCACATCTAGATTCAAGCCTTCTTTTCATCATGCACTAAGAGATTTTTATTGTTATTTATCCCTTCCATTATGCACAGATTTCTTACTAAAATTAAAGACTTAAAAACCTACTATGCAGATCAGAGAAAGCAACAGAATTTAGCCCCACATTTGTAAATATGTGTCATTTTTTATAGACAGAAGTTAAAGGTGACAAAATTTACTGTTTTAATCAGTCATTTGACAACACAAGGCTCAGAAAAGCAATTAACAACATATGAAGCATAGAAAAAGCACACACAATTAGGAAGACAAACAATAGAATAAAGACTATCTCATCTGGAGAAAAGTAAGATGCAATTTCCCTGCCACCTGAATTTGGCTCATTACTGAAGAGAGTGCTAAAGATCTCCCTAATGACAGAAAATCATCAGACCATAAGGAAAATTTATAATACTACATCTGCTCCATTAAGAATGACAGCTATAATTCTTTTAAACATAAAGCTTTAGCTTGAATCAAATAACTTACTTTAAGTCTATCTAGAAATCATAATCGTATGACTTCTTAAATGGCCATGTGAACTTTAGCAGCCTAAACCCACTTTAGCTTAGTGATGCTTTGGAAAGACCAAATCTAAGTTAAAAGAGGGAATTCAAAATCACAGGATGAAATTAATTTCTTAAGATATGTTTGCTAAAATGTATTCCATGACAAACTAGAGTAGAATCCAGATTAGTTTTTAGAGAGTTCCTACTCAGTTCAGTAAAATTTGAATCAGATCCTTCTGACACAACACTACTGTAATATCAATATATTTAGGTGTGCACTTCTACTTACAATTTCTTCTTATTGTAACAATAATGTATATTCTAATTCAGCAAGATATTTTTTACAGTAGTACAAATGCCAGATCTGTGGCCAACAGACTGTTTTTAAGACTGGTAGATTCTGTGATATTCTGCAAATGTCATTCTTTCTTTTTAAGCACTGCTTGTGAGAAGCAACACCTCTGATAGTTGCTACAGGTCTCCTAATAGACACCCAAGTATTGACTGACCAGATAATTCCTATTCCTGACCAAATAATTTAGACCCAAAGTATTAGTCTCCTGCTCACTTCCTCTGTTGCCTTACACCATGAACTGACTCATTAAAGTTAGCAAGGTTACATGTATGATAAAAAAAAAAAAAAAAAATCTTCAGTAGTAATGAGCTGATCCTACAACAGTTTTTAAATAAGAAAATCCCACTTGAATTAGGAATTAATACTTCCTTATGTTAAGTTTCAGTACAGATCAAATTCATACCATCACTAGAAATGTCTCCCATAAAAATGGAATTTTAAAACATGTTCTTGTACTATGAATATGCTGTAACAATAACATGACCTACTCTTTTTATCATCTTTAAAATATTTTCTTCATTACTCAACTGCTTAAAGACCTTCTTAAAATGTTTATAGAAGATAATTTTTTTATTTTGTTGTCCTTTTATTTTTTTTTTACTAAAGAATAGATCCATCTTGAAAGTTTATCTCAATGTTGAGTTTTATCCTTTTAATTAGAAGACTTAAACAATTGCCTTTGTAGTCTAGTAGCTCTTTGAACTGCCTTTGAATCAAGATCAGAGACTACAATAAAAAAAATTCCTACTGTACAATTTTATACCATTCTATGTGAGATGCTCAACATGTAAAAAACCTTAATATTATTCAATATTTGCAGCACTAAAAAGAGACAAATGTTGGGTTTTGGCTGTCATTTCTCCTCTTGTACTTTGCTGGAGGAAAAATATAATTTCAGCAGCAAGATTCATTTACTAAAAATAATGTTTTGCAGAAGGGAAACTACATTTATTTTAAGTTTTCTTGCTGTTGTTCAAAGCAAATACTATATGTATATTATTAAAAAAAAATCTAAAATGGAAAACACATATCTGAAGAAAACCCCAGTCCCAAAATAATCAGAAGCATAGTAAAATGAAAGACAGATGTAATTTTTTACTACCAGTCAATGTTTAGGACCCCTTTCCTCTTACAGATGTTCATTTTCTTTCTCAGCAGCATAAATATTTTGAGCTCTCAGGACTGTTCATGCCTGGCATAGTTTTTCCTTGTGGTTTTAATTTGCAGAGAGCTGGGCTGCTAATGCAATTGCAAGCGAGCCCAGGCCGGCACAGGCGGGAGATGAAAGGCACGGCCATGCCTCCCGTGGGGCGCTTGCCGTGACCCACTTCCACGGCAGCCAGACATAACACGGGAACCACGTGCTCCCACCACGCCGTCAAAACAAACCATTAAAAGCAGCAGCTTAAGACTGATTTAGGACCCTCTGGTCTTTAAGTGGTGTCTGACTTTTTTGATCTACTAACTGATCACAGGTGTATGAAAGGGGATCTCTGAGACAATTAACTGTGAATTCGGCAGGTTCACTGTTACAAAGAGGGACAGCTAGAGTTTCACCTAGGAGAGCATTTAAAAAAAAAACAGCATTTGATGATTGCCATGGCAAAAGCATGAATGAGAAGGATGAATACATGCTCTGCTTAATATCCATGCAAAAATTCTGCCCTAACTGTCACATCCTCTTGATTAAATTCTCAGTTCTACCCTCAGTAATGTTGCATTTCAACAGCATCAAATATTCCATGAGAAATACAAGCACAGCTAAAAATGGCTGGGAAAAACACTGTGCATAAAAAACCTCTACCAATGGCTGGGAAATTAATTATTTTTAGCAAATAAACTATCTATATCTTGCTCAATAAACCTAGTGTTTTCAGAAAAAGGATTCCAAAGTGACTAGGTTATTATGTAAGGTTATTTCTTCTTTCATGCCCTCCACCTGACCTTAGTATTATACTTAGTGAAGGCTGAGTAGAGACACTGAGGCAGGGTACCTATGGCAACACTTTCTGAGGTAGCTAGCTGAAGTTTCTTGCAATGAAATTACAAAATAACTATTTTTTATTATCCAGCTATTATTATTTTGATAAAAGTTATTGATAATTTTGAATAGCATCAGAGTACATAATTTCAGCTCAACAGCCACTAAGATAAACGAATTCCTTATTCCACTTGAAAAAAGGGGTGAGAATTACACTTTTTTTTTTTTTTTTTCATTGATGATGGATTTTTTCTGTCTTGAAATGGAAGGTTGGTACATGAAGTCATCAGACAATAAAAATCCATTCCTACTGTATGCTTAACCACTGAACCAATATGTATTTTTAAAACTCCTTCATATGAGAATCGATAGGTTTGGGTGAGTAGATGACTGCTGCTACCTGTGGTGGGCAGTGATTTATTGTCAATTTGTAAGAAAAGGAAAGTTGTAAAGTATTTAATTTCATGTATTTTTTTTATTTATAGCTGAAATAACTAGAGAAAACTACTATCTTCTGGTTTTAAGAATTAAGAATGCATAACACTGCACTAAAAAATAATAGTGAAAAAAGCACATCAGATGCCACAACCCCCCACCTTTTCCAGAAAAAACAGAAAATCCCTTCCTCTTCCCCATCTTAAAATGCAGTTCTTAGAGATGTAATTAGGGGTGGCATTGAAGGGGCCACATGCCAGCTGATGTTCTATGACTGCTGAAGTATTTGCACTAGTCCCCTGACACACCTAAATATATGTTATTTTGGCTCATATTAGGAGGGGTGATTCTCAAATAAAAGGTAAAGAGAGATTAATAAACTGGCAAGTGAACCTTCTCACAAACCTAGGCGGCTCAACCAGGGATCATCTGTCTTGGCAAAATTGCAGCTCAGTGGCAAGTGGAGCCCATCACCCTGGTGCAGTTGGCCCTATAGAGTCTAGTCCCACATTGGGCTGTTTCTTAGTGTGGGTTTGCTTTTTTTAATCTGTCCAACACATCATGGACTGCAGATCTCCAATGATGCCATATCATGACTTTGGGCATGGTAAACTCTCAGAATAAAGAAACAGCAGAGCTGGTAGGATGCCTTTTATTTTCTAAATCTCTGTATTTACACTGCTTTTGCTTCTTAGGACACTCCACAGATGTAGCTTGGGACCTCCTGCTCCTATGTTAATTGCAGCAGGGAAAAACCTAACTGCTGATCTAGAATCTTCCACCTTGGGCAGTATTTATCTTTTTTATATTGGAATCCTAGAAATTAGGCTTTTAGTCTAACTCTTACTGTCAACAGGGAGAGAGAAAGACAATGACTTTCAAAAAGAAAATATAGATAAGAGATGCTTAGGAGGTAGAATACCTTCTAGAAATATGCATCCCTCTCTGAAAAGGATGTTATTTACTTGCAAATTTTCCTTCATTGTCCAAAGGGAAAAATAAAAGCAGAAATCACTACCCACCAGACCTACAAGAAAAATAAATAATTTCTTGCTTCTTCTCACCCTTCTGGTCATGGACCCCAAAATAATTTTAAGAGTATAAATAACTGTAATGAGTTTAGGCATTGCTATTTCACTTGAAGTTCTCCATGTCACCTTTTTTAGAAGTTGTCCCTTTAAAACTTAAAAATCATGATATAGCTTTTGTATTTTGTAAGGACATTTCAAAACCAAAACCCCATTATTTTTTTGTGATTTTTTTTTTTACAGTGTCCCTCAGTTTTTCATGAAAGAGAATAACAATTCTTGACTTCTTGACAGTTATTTTGTTTTCTGAATTCTATTTTCTTTAAGTTGAATTAATA